GGGTTTTCTTTGTTTTGTTTTGGGGTTTGTTTGGTATATTTTCCCCTTTTATTCTCTTCTCCCTCCCCCCTGTATGTTTTCAAAGAACACTGGTTTCTAGCACACTGATAAACTCGTAGTATCCTGAACAGCATCACTTCCCATGCCCATAAAGAGCAGGCTTTGACAGGCAGGGAGCCCCAGCTTTGTGACATTCCCTCTGGTGGCCACGGCAGGCTGCTCTCAGCAGGCTTTGGGATGCTGTGAGGAAACATGGTGTGCATCTGTATGCAGTGGACCTTATCCCTATGAGGCTGGGGGTGTGCAGATATCACAGTCAAGCTGATTTTTCAACTAGTTGTGCTAAAATGCAATTCTGTTTCTACTCTTTCTTCATCCTGTGGCTGCTCCCCGGCAGTGCTCTCCCTGCAATACCCTGGTGAGCCAGGATGGAAACTCACCCTAGTGCAAAAACAAAGAAAAAGGAGGATAAGAAACTTATTTCCTCTGCATGCCCTTGAAGGGCTGCTGAAGTAAGCGAGGTCTGGCATCTTAGGGACTGCAGGAGCAGACCCTGGAGGTGTCTGTAGCAGTCACACTGCGTGTTTTGCAAAGGTAGCAAAGTCAGCTCTGCCTGGGCTGGTGGAGCTCAGCTGTGTTTGCAGTTTTCTCTTCAGCCTCCTCCCTTCCCAAGGCACCACTGCTGCTTCTGGCACAGCCCACGTTCTTTCCCTGGTGGAACATTCGCCGACTCTGGCTTCCAGGATGGTCAGACTTTGTTTTCAACACATGAATTTTGTGGGAAGGGAGAGGTGGAGAATAAGAGGGTGGGGGAGGCAGTTACCATGAAAAATATCATGAGGAAAACCAAACCAACTCCTCCCTCCCCCCATCTAGAATCCATCTAAAATTAGAAGTGCCATTAACAATATATCAGTCTCTCAACTTTTGTGTTTCTGGCACTGGTGCTTGCAATGGTCAGGACTTTGTATAACAAAATATCCACGGGTTTTTTGCAACATTCACATCTTGAATGTTTTTCCCTGTTGAATCAGAGATCTTTTTGCCTTAAAAGCACATAGAGCACTCTGTGTTTATGATCAGTCTGTCGAAATGTCAAGGCTAATTACACTAGTGTGTTCCCAAGTGAATAAATGCATCTTCTAAAGAATATCCTGTTGAGATCAACAAAATAAGATATTGGCATGAGCACTTGCAAACTGCTTTAAGAAAAAAATATAATAAGAGGCAGGATCCAAATATAAGGAAATAGAGATGGAAGAAACCCATTAGTTCACCTTATCCATCTACATTGGTGCAAAATACAGTTTTTTACGTTCTGTGGCAGAGAGATTTCTTTTTGGGTCAGTCCAGTCCCAGCTGTTTGGAAAACTGGAGCTTCCAGTTCTTAAAGTGCTGCTTTCCCCCCCATTTTGTTCTGCATTTCATTCTCTTCAGTTCTATTTTTGATCTATAAATGTTGGCCAGACTTTGAGATTCAAGTTTGTTTCCAAATCATCTGGATCATTTACATTCCATCTTTGAAAGTGACATAGGAACCGAGGAGTCCAAGCTTCACTACAGTGAGTGTGACTTGGCTTCTGTGCAGACATAGTTTCTGAATGCTTGGGTCCCTCAGCCAAGCTGTGTTTCCTCTGTCCATTTTTAGATAGTTTAGAGTTTGATTTCTGTTGTGCCCACTGCAGGGTGGCACTTTCTCACAGGATGACTCTTGGGATCTCCTCCAGGGGCTGCTCTGTACTGGAAGCATCCCTGCAGCCAGGTGATGATTGTGCCCCTCAAATGGAGGTTGTGGGAGAAAGGAGCATCCTATGGGGGCCTGCTATATTTGAAAAGGCCACTCATAAGATGAGAATTTTGTTATGTTAGTGGAAGTTGAAATCTGTTGCACATAAGGGGACATTGCATTTAAATCATATTGGAAATGTATAAACAAAAGAAAATATTCTCCCAGGTTTTTACAATATGTTTCTAAGCCGACACATTGGCTTGTGGTGACTGAATTTATTTTTAAATCTTGGCTTGAGATTAGCAAAGTTTTTCAAGATTTCTTTAGTGGTAGTATTGTACATGGATTTTTCATGTTACATGAGGATTTAAGACATGAAAAAAATTCTGGACTCTTGAAAAAGACCAAGGCAACTGATGGAGGGAAATATTATGATTAATATAGCCTAAGGGAAATATTATGTTTAAAAACCCCAAGAATTTCAGTTAAAATAACATATTCTGAATATGTTCTGACTTCAACATTCATAATTCTGTTCAAGCTTCTGAAGCATGGGATTTGACTAATTTTAATAAGAATTACATAAAATGTAAATAAAACACTTAGGTTTCAGTTATTTAGGTTTCAGTTATTTATTTCTTAGTAACTTTTTCTTGATTTGGTGGCTTTTTTATTTTTGTTTTCTTATGTGCCTCTACTATTCTGTAGTGATGAACTTGTGTGGTATTAGTGGCAGTAAGGCTTCCTCTGTAGTTTTGAACTTGTTCAAGGGGTTTTGCTGAGTTAATTTTGGACTAACTCTGGCGCTAGTCAGGTGCCATCTGGCACCAGGGAAAGCAAGAGGCCCGTGCCAGAGGACTGTGCCAGTGCCATGTGACAAAGGTGCCCATCAAGTAGCACTCATTTGGCACATCCCAATCACACAGGACTGAAGTGGCAGTACACAGCCTTGTTTCTGCGCCCCTGCAGAGTCCCACTCAGTATAATGGGGCTCCAGGCGGCAACAAAGCTCTGTGCAAGGATGTCCATTCTGTGGCTGCTGCAGACTTTTTGATACTGTTGGGTGTGTTCCTTTCAGAGATGTTTAATACACAGCTGCAGTTGTGGAAAAAATGTGAGTCTACAAAATGAGCCAAAAATCTGACCATAAATAAAAAAAGAAAACTTGTTATTTAGGCAAATTGCTTACTACTGAATTAAAGTTTGGGATTTGACTCGTTTTAATAAATATCCGGAGTTTGAAGGCAAATGCTTATCTGTAGAGAAAATAAAATCTTGTTACCTCACTTTCCTGAGTGAAATCTATTCATGTAGCCTAGTTCTGCTCGTGGTCCCAAAGCACTTGGAGATCATGAGATAACCCTCTTGACCTGAAGAAGAGAGAGTGTCAAGGCAAAAAGGCAGAGTTAATGACCTGGGTCAGCTAATTACAACAAGGGTTTGCTGTTCCCTGGTCACTCTTTGACCTCCATTATCCTTCCTAAGTGTCTTTGGATCTTTAGCAAGGTCCCTTTCTTGCTCTACAGGCTGAATCTGGACCCATCCTCAGCTACTGCTCATGGCAGGTTTTGCATTTCCATCCCGGTGCCTTGTCCCTTCCAGCTGCTTTCAGAAATGGTTCATGTGGAGACAGGGGGGGTCAGTATGTACAGCAAAACAACAAGAGAGGGATTTGTGACGTAGAACACAAGCTCCACCTATCCCTCTGTCCTGGATCTTAAACTGGAGTGGGAGTGTATAATTGAGGAGTAGATGTTGCAGCCAAAGGAGGAGGCAGCTGTGTGAACTGAGCATCTCATTCTGAAAAGAGGATGAAGTCAGAACAAACTACATGGTGACAGATGGCCTATGGCAGAAACCAGATGGCCCCGTGAGTCCCACCATTCCTGTCATGAAAAAGCAAGCAGAGGAGAAGGCCACGGTGTAGCCCAAAAGGTTGTTACCCTCTAGTGTGAGGGCCACTCATGGTTTATAAATGGTGTTACACTTAGAATCCCAGTCTGTGATGCCTGTTTCATAAGCCAGCAAAGGCTGCTTGCTCAAGGGTTACAGATCTGAGTCCCATCTTGTACAAACACATCTATAAGTGCCTCATCAGCTAATGTGCCTCAGTGGCTTTCCGGCCAGGCTGCCTTACAGGCTGTGCAGATCTGCTTTATCAGGTATTAACACTCAGTTGAGGTTTTATCTCCTGAATTGCATCTATAGATGAGCACCACAGCTGCTTTAGAGTGTAAGATTATGAGCAACTGGCTGCTTGTTTACAAATGTGTGCAGTCTCTGTTACCTGAACCAACCATTCTTTCCTTCAGTGCTCCACCATGGAGTTGAGAGCTGTAGTCAGGAGCTTGCTCTGACCCCACAACAAGGCAATGTGCCTCACCCTTCTCCAGGCACTCCTGCACTCTTTGCCCTTCCAATTTGTGATGTGCGAAATTCTTATAATATCAAAATTAACAATTAATGTGCTTTGCAGCTCCTATTATGTCTGCATTTGTGATGTCTTGCCTCTTTGTATCTTGGATTTAGTAAGAACTATGCAGGACTTGGAAAGCTTAAAACACAAACTGAGAATGATGTGAAGAAAAGGAGATTTATAGCTAAAATATCCCACAAAATCAAACCCCATCTGGTTGGTGTGCTGTCCTGGGAACGGATTTCAAAGTGGTTCTGAAATGCTAATCTAGTACTGAAGTTCTGACCTACTCTTTTGTACATATGTGAACAGATGAAAACTTGCTGGGAGGGATTTGTGTAGTTTGTACACGGGGCTTGTATTTTTCTAATTAAAAGCTTGAAGTTCTGTTGGTCATTAGGACAATATATTATCCCAAAATATAAGTATGTGCACCTTCTAACAGTGCATTAAGCAATGCCACTAACTTGTCAGCAAGTTAAAGACAATACAGTACAGATGAAATAGCTTTGGCTGGCACTTAGATTAAATGGAGAGGTTTCCCCTTTGTCATTAGATCTGGAGCAGTAATGATAGTGATTAAAACCACTAAAGCTTGAAAGAGTAGACAGCTTTTTTCTCAGGAGAGACTGAATTTGAGAGGAAACTAGGGATCAGAATTCCTGTGTTGAATCTGTTGGACCATGGAAATGTGTGCCAAGGGCAACTTTCTTGTCTAGGAGCACTAAGTTCAGTGTGCATCTTCTGCACCCCTCATCTCAGACACTGCCCGTGTTTGAAATGCAATGCCATTCTTTCTGATACATCTGTACTAAATGTGCAGAAATCAAATGTTCATGTTTAAAACATTTGCAGGTCTGGTTTAGCAATCGTCGTGCCAGATGGAGGAAGCAGGCAGGAGCCAACCAACTGATGGCTTTCAACCATCTGATCCCTGGAGGTTTCCCACCCAGTGCCATGCCAACTTTGCCAACGTACCAGCTCTCTGAGCCCTCCTACCAACCCACCTCCATACCCCAAGGTACAGTAGCCCACAGGTACTTGGTTAAAATAGTGTTATTGAGGGGGTTTCCTGTGCTCATCCACTGTAGAAATATTTTCTTTTTTTAATGAGTTGGCTAATTTAGGATCTGACTCAGGTAGGACTCTGCAAGCCTGTTTATTTTGAGCATGTAAGAACTGAGATTTGTTTTGCTGCAAGAAAGGGGTGGTTCCATGGGAAGGGTGCTCTCCAGAGGAATAATCACCTTCTGCCCAGCAGGCATGCAGCTTTGGTAAAGCGATGGACACTCATTTCTGTCCTGTCACTGCACTGGCCTCCTTTGCTGGAAACGTCTGCTGTGATGTAGAAGGAGAAAGGTGCACTCTGTCTTTGTTGTGACTATCATTGATGGAGCATTGGAACTTCTGTAAATACTCTGAATATTTCTGGGGTGGAACAAACAGCTATTCAGACCACCTTGTCTCACATCAGTCAGTAGTCAGTCTCAGTAGGGTAAAAATTTTTCTTAATGTTATCAGAAATTCTGTGATCTTTGATGGATTTGAGTGGGAGGGAACAGACCCTCAAATGTATGCTTTGTTTGATTTTAGTATTAAATAAAAACCTTATGAGCAATATTTAATAAAATAGTTTGTGTCTTATTGCTTCGTCCTTGAGATTTGGATCCTAACTCTCAGTGGAGGTTCTAATTGATGGAATTTTTCGAAGCCCAGGGTTTCTCCCATCCATTGCTTGACTTGATACAAGCCATGGTGGGATTTCTGAGCTGTGAGCAGGAGAGGAAAGCCAGTCTTATAAGTAAATAAAATATTTTCCTTTATTTTTATATATAGACATATTAAAAAAAAATATTGCTGTCAATATGTGTTCACTAAAGGTTGTCTGAAAACTGCATGCCTGTTGTTATGGTATTTACAGTCTGTTTAGGATTTTTTTGTGTAAACTGACAGGCTGGTTAAATATCCAGCAATATTATAGCTTTACTTTTCTACTTAACCAGTATTTAGATGCAGGTTCTGATGCAGTTCTCTTAAGCTGAGCTTCACATAATGAACTTATTATGCCAGAATCAAGGAGGAAAACACATCAACATATTTCTTCTGCTTTCAGCCGTGTCTGATCCAAGCAGCACCGTCCATAGACCTCAGCCTCTCCCTCCAAGCACTGTACACCAAAGCAGCCTCCCTTCGAACCCTGAGAGCAGCTCTGCCTACTGCCTGCCCAGCACCAGGCACGGATTTTCCAGCTATACAGACAGCTTTGTGCCTCCGTCCGGGCCCTCCAATCCCATGAACCCTGCCATTGGCAATGGCCTCTCACCTCAGGTCAGTCCTGTGTTTTCAGACAGAGGATTTGCTGTATACCAGAACCAAAGAGTCTATTCCCTCAGGCCACAGTATAATGAATTGCCAAATTTAAACCATAATGTATTCTTTATATAAGCCACATGATTTCAGTTTGCTAGTTTCCTTTTTTTTTGTTTTAATTTTTTTTCCTTCTACTGGCTGAATAAAGAGTCATAGCTTATATTTAATTTCAACTGATTTATAATGGAATCATGCAGACTTCATGTTTGCATCCAGTTGTCGAGCATTTGTAATGTACTGCTCTTCTCCTGCAGATCCATGGCTAGGTACAGAAAACAGAGCTTGTATTTTTTCTGTGAAGAAAATATCTCATTAAAATAACATCATCAAGATTTTACCAAGTTGTCCAGGAAAATTATGGGCAAGTTGTATGAGAAGACTTCCAAGGACTGAGCAATGTGTATTGAGATGAGCTGTAATCGAGTTATAAATACATAAATTAGAAGTATAACTGCTCTTTGGCAATATATAAATGCATGAATACCATAATTGTTTTTCTAATTTGCGTGAGCTCTTTTAAGGAAATCAGGTTAATAAATTGCCTTGATAATTGAGTGTCAAAAGATTGGTTACATTTTCCTACACACGGCATCTGTCTGAAGCTGACATTATTAGTTAAAGCTTGAATAGATGGTAGTCTATTTTATTAACAAGCGCTTTGCCCAGGTGCTTGGAAAGAGATGTCCACTAAATTATGAGGAGTCACAAAGAAGATGCAATCTATAATTACAATCAGGAATCTCTTCAGGGCTGAAAGTGAGAGTTTTAACAGCTTTATCTGCTTTCTACCCTTTTTTCCTCTCAGTGGTTAGAAAAACAGAGGGAAGCTCAGAATGACACAAATGAAAAGTGAAAAGACAATTATACTCAATTACACACTAATCACTGACTATCACCACTGCCTAAGCAAGGGAGAGGGCATTCTAATAGGCAGAAAATGAGATTTTAATGGCACAAAGGGTGGCCAAAATAACGACTCATATATCTTTGCCTCCTTCATTTTCTTCAACTTGTGGTTTGCATCTCGGGAGTGCAGTTCCTGGTTCCTGTGCAACGGTGATAACTCTGTGCAGCTGAAAAGTTCAAAGGCTCTAGAGTTGAAAAGAATGAATAACAAAGGCAATGAAATAAACATTTTTGCCCAAAGGCAAAAGTTCATAAACCCTTTTTTGTAACGGTAAATGTAATTAAGATTCACAGATTCCTATAGCATGGAGTGTGGTACAAAACTTCATGGCTTGAAACCTCAGGAAAAAAATGCCTACAGAAAAACAAACGGATGTACTTCCAACAAGACTTGAATAGATTTTGTTTGAAAGAATTCTGATTTCTAAATGCAAACTTCATCAAAATCCATGACATTATATTAGTTGTTTCTTTTTTTTTTTTAATGGCTAGTTTCATAGTGTGCAAGACTTCCACATTTTTGACATAATTATCTATCGGGTTTTCAATGTTAATACATAAAAATTAGTTGTTAGTGTCAGTTTAAATGTGTGTTGGTTCTGGCTATGGAAAATGTGATCTCTTTTTTTCCCCTTTCACAAAGCTTTTATTGTCTGTGACACAGAAGTGGAGCGCAACAACAGCAAAGAAATCTTGTGATGGCTGGGTGAAATGGGACAAAAATGTGAGGCCAGTTCTCCTCCTGCCAAAGTCTTGCTGATTTGAGGTTTGATGTAATCAAAAGGAGATTCTGTCCTTTTTACACCTAGCCCTGTCTTTACCCTAGGAGACTTCTGTTGTTTTATTGTTTGTTAATTTGTTTTCCTTAGACTTCTGAAGCCTTTTTCTAACCCAGTGCTTAGCACTTCTGGCTGTGTCCAGCAGCTCTACTAACAGGTACAGCTGGGTTTAGGGGATGCTGACCCCTTTAAAATTGACCTCATGCTTTCCTTGCTCAGTGCATAGAGGAGATTACTTATATCCATTTAGATTTGGAACAACTTCTTGGCAACTAAATGATTACCTTCAACAGATCTTAAAAATCTTCCCATCAAGAAAACACATTAAAAACCCAGACCTGAATTCATGTGGCATTGCCAACAATTCCTCTATATCGATTTTGGTGCCTAAAGAATGAGTTAGAGACATGCCTAAAATGTAGAGATGTATAAAGTGACACAGATTTTGTGTTTATATAAAGCAGTAATACAGCCTGAAACATGTAAATTGTGTGCAGCAAATTGTGGGACTGTAGCACACCAGTGAAACTCTTGATGCCCAAAGGAGCCTGAGCTGCTGATCACAGTGTTGGTGTGTGATATGTCCCTTAGTTGTGGGGTGTGTCACTGTGCATCCCCTCTCCATGCTTCCTCAGGGCTCTTCCTGAGGTGCTGGAAGAGAGGCTGAGCTAAGGTAAAGTTGAAAGCCAGCTCTGCATTTGGGGTTTCATGAAAAAGGGAAACAGGAGTTTTCCTGCTGAGTGGGCATGATGCACTGCCCTGCCTGTGTGCATGGAATTTAGATGAGAAAGAGAGAGGGTCTATTTACTAGCCAGTGCATTTTTGACCACAATAAATCTGGGGGTGTGAGTAATTAACATAATGTTTCCACCCATCCATGTGTCTCTTGCTGGCAAGTGCTCCTGACAAACTGAGTCTAAAGCTGAATTTATGGTGGCTGTAGCAGGGAGGGGGAAGGGGGGCTTTGTCTGAAGCCCAGATAATATTTTGTGATTAAAAAACCCCATCCTTAGAACATACAGAATGAAATCTAATACTAAGATACACAGGATTCTATTCTTAGCAGATTTAAACCTCTCTCCCCTCTTTGTCACCAATTTATTACAAATGGGGGTCTGACACAAAGACACCAGGGAAGCTTTATTTTCTATGTAGAATGGTTCCATTCTAACTTTTTTCTTGAATATGATGGACAAATATGGTGTTTAAGGCAATCACTGATGAAGGTAGCAGACAATCAGAGACACTGAGGGTGATGCTATTTTATTTTTATTGTGTTAGCCTTGAATTTTGGCATGAGAGGGGACTGTATTTCTCAGTTCTAGGAAGAAAAATGCTCCACTACATACCTGTCTTGCAAGTCGGGTGTTGAAAAAGTTGTTGATCTTGTTTAAAAATATAAGAGAACAGAAAGAGTTCCGCCTCGTTTAATACTTTTTAACATCAAGACAAGATCTGCAGCAGTCCTTCAGATGACTGATTATTCTCCTTGCTCATCTGGTTTATTCATTACTACCTGGATGTGGTGAGAGAACCTCTGTCTTGCAGGCATGCAATGGGTTGACTTTTGCTGAAAAAAGTCAGGGATTAATGTCTTGGGGAGATGGCAGCCTGGAGTGTTTGTATTTCATGAAAAAGCAACTCAACTGCAAGCATGCCATCTCAGCCAGGGCTCTTTAAATATAATGTCAGAAAAGAGATTATTAGTGTGTAATATATGTAAATTGCATATTTTTATGTTTTCTATGCCTATTATGCAGCTTCTTGCCTTTCATGAATACATTTATGGCAATATTGTATTTCCTTTTCAAATTAAGTTTTAGTTGCTCAGTGAATTTTCTTTTAACAAATGTTTTTTAACTCAGAATTATGAGGGGACAGCATATCTGGATGCTAATGTATGTACACAGGACTTAGGCATGCTTTGGATTGGCATGGCACTTTATGATTAGTGGCCATCACTGGCTTTTTGCTCTGAAGCAGAGCAGTGACTGCAGAAACACTTGTCTCCCACCTGCAGGTGGATGGTCTTGGTGAAGGGCAGATTGTTTTAAAGACAGGATATCAGTATTTTGAGCTGCTTCATTTAAGATAAGGAAAAAGGCTTTTCCGGTGTACATCAGCATCCCCTGACCTCCTCATGTGCTTTTTATTAGTGTCAGGGCAGCAGAGTTTGCCCTACACCAGGTCAGGCAGTTTGCTGGTTTGGAGGGTGCTGCTCTGGCTGATGTGGATCCAGGTGGAGCAGCAATACCCTGCTTTGTGAGTTTGTGTGCTTCCTGTATTTAACCTGTAGGATATTTAACCTGTTTAACCTAGGATAATCCAGGCTTAAACAGCACTTCAGTTTTAAGATTTTACCAGGAGAAGAACAAACACATGTAACCTGTCTCCTGCTAGGCATAATTGTTTTTCCTCCTTGCCCTCTAGAAAACTTCTCAGATCTGCTGTTTCCTCTTCCTTGCCTTCTCCCTCATAATTGAATCAAACCTGTAGCTTTAAAGGCTGCAGTTTGAAAATGGGAAGTGGATTGAATAGTGAATTGGCTGTGTAGGAGATCATAACAGTCTTTAACAAAGTTTGCAGTTTCATGCCATTACCTGGAGCTCAGGAATAATCTTGATAAGAAAATCCCAAACTTTTCCATGAACAGTAGTAAAGAGGCAAGCTCTTTCAAGGTTTCTTTCTTCTACTGTCAAAACATTTCACTGCCTGAGTTTCAGAGTTACCCTGTAACTCCTTTTGGTGAGGTGGATCTTAGGCAATGGGCTTCTCTAAAGTCGTTGAGAGCACTTGGTTTTCATTAAACTGACGTATGGAACCGATGGCAGCTGTCGAATCAGTTAGATATGTTCATGTTGTCTTATTAACTCTGTTTTTAGGGGAGCCACAGGAACCAGGGCTAAAAGTTTTCATTCCCTCATTAAGGGGGACAAGAGCAATGAAAAAAAGCAACTATTAATTCATTATACTTTTCCCCATACCTTCTGTTGGATTACCTTGAGCTGGTTGCCCACAGAAACATTTCATCTGGGTTCAAGTCCCACAGCAATGAGAAGCTTATGATCTTTGGCACGATGCACTTGGCTTTGAGAGCTCTTTGCTTATTGACCCAAGAACATAAGACAGGGCATGGATTCCTTAATGAGTAAGAAAGTTAATTCACATGATAAAATCTTCATGACCACGAGTTTTTGTTCTTTCTTCTTTTTTTTAAATTTAAAGTTCAGACAATGGGGTTTATTATTTTTTGTTTCTCTGAGCAAAATAGAT